GTTCAGGGTGATAAACATATTTTGGGAATAGTAATAATGGATAGTATTGGGCATATAATTAATGCCACTGAAGTGCACATTTAAAATGTTTAAAATGCAAGTTTATTAAATACAGTTTTATCATACTGTTAAAAAGGTTTAAAAGGAAAACAACATTTACTCCTAAAACAAGTTTATTTTTAGATTATAGGTTGTATTTTATTGTTGTATATCTGTTATTATAGTATTATTGACAAAGGGGGAATAGATGTAACTCTCAATCCTGCTAGATATCTGAAACGCGTTCAAGTTCTCTAAAATCAGAGAATGAATTATAAGAACAAAATAGATTATAGTAGGAAAAATTTATTGAAAGATCACTTCTGTCTAGGAGAGACAGAAAAGGGTTCCAGAAAGTGAGTTGCCTACCCACCCTATTTCACAAAGGTGTGTTATGGGACAAAGCCACGAGGTAGGTAAGTACAAAATGGGACAAAACTGTAGTCAACTAGTAAGATTACAAGTACAGTTGCTTAGGTAATATTGGTGCAGTGGGAAATCACAATGTGGACATGAGGTGGAACGAAACTATGATCACCCAATAAGATTACAATAAGTGTAGTTACTTAGGTAATATTAATTAAATGAGGATCAAATGGAAAACAACTCATACAAAGAATTTCTTCTAACAGCCTTATAATAATTGCTAACTAATTTAGCTGTCTGCAATATGGTCACATTATATTAATTGCTTTAGATTTGAGGTAACTTGAAATCAGGAAATAGGGATTCTTTAATATCTTTTCAAGATTATTTCACTATTCTGTATCCCTTGACTTTCCATATGAATTTAATAGTTCACTCATCAGTTTTCTAGCACTGATTTCTTAAATCTTACTTTGCCACTTGTAGTTAAGAGTCTTTGAAAAAAATCTTATTTTTTCATAATCATTATTATAGATTATAAGAACTCAATGAAAAAATATACGTAAAATTTTACATAATGCTTGGCACATATTACATACTATGTACAGGTTGAGTATGTTTAATCTGAAAGTCTAAAACCTCAAATATTTCAATATCTGAAACTTCGAGCACCAACAGATGACACAAGTAAATAATTCCATACCTGACCTCATATGACTAAAGGTCAAAGGCCAAGGGTAGCTACAATTACTTTCAGGCTATATGGATAATCTATATCTCAAACCTAAATAAATTTTGTATTTAAAACTTGGTCCTATTCCAAAAATATTTCATTAATGTATGTGAAGATATTCCAAAATTTAAAAAATTGAAATCTGAAACACTTCCTGGCCCAAGCATGTCAGATAAGGAATACTGGACTTATATACTACTGTGATGGGGAAAATAAATAACTCCTATCTTTTAGTTGTCAGATGTGCTGAGTTCTCACAACACTGAGGAATGAAGTTGCAAACCAAAGAAGGAGAGTTTTCTTGGAAATAAAAAGCAGAAATATAACTCCTCGGTTTTCAGTGTCCCAAGTAGGTAGCTATTTCTTAAGGGTAATGTATACAGTAAAATCACATAAGTCAAACTATAATCAATCTTTAGGATTATAAGTATAGTTGCTTAGCTAATATTGATCCAACAGGGAATCAAGGCAGATGACAAGAGTAGGTGGTGAGCATCATTAACTTTAGCTTGTGTATAACCTCTCATCATAGAAAGAACAAAGGCATTCCAGGAAGGGATGGGTCCAGTCTTTCTGGACACCTGGACTTTCTGGATCAAGGCACCTGATATCTATCTGGGCTCACTGGATTAAGCTGTGCTAATGATAGTATAATCTCAACTGCTCTTTAGAGGGACTTGCCTGTTGTGTCTCCATCTTGAGGCCTGGCTCTCTTCAGATTGTCCTCCAATCACAATCTATATGATATGTCCCACTTGTATACTTATTCCCTCAAGGGCCTGATCCCTCCATGTGTGCCAATTAATTTGTATCTAATTTAGCTTCTATAATACTACTTATAATAGTATTTCCATGTCACTACTAGTGTGTAATACTTTTATATATTAACTAAAGTATAAAAGAACTCCATCTCCAGAGTATATTCATTTTTCATTATTGAGATTGTCAGTGTACATATAATGGAAAGAACCATTTAATGTAATTTGGTGTGAGCCATTTGATCAAGGCTTGAATATAGTTAATATGGAATATTGATGACATGATAAACTTATAGATATTTGACATTTCTATGTTTAACAATTCCATGGAAATAGAAGTGTCATTTTCAGTAATCAGTTCAAAGTTCAAAAGTAATAGTTGGTCAGTTACCATCATTTTGATTATAATCAGAAATAGAAAATAAAGGTGGTTAAAAGAAATGTAATCTTGGAAATTGCAACTTTTCAAAAAAATAACATGCTGCTTGCAAATGAGATTATTTGTTTATTGAACGTTTTCAATTTTTACCTCCTTTCTCATTTATAAAGCTCTCCAAATTTCCTGTTTTTAATCACTTCATCATATATAGTAAACTGTTACTTCATTAGCATACTATTTATATGCATATGCGTATGTTTTATAAACATTAAATCCAAGTTGGAATATGTTAAACCATACACACACACACACACACACACACACACATATTTCTTTTTTTTCTCATTGAGCTTATTTGTACATTTTAGGTATACAGCACAGTTACATTCATCATTGGGATCTTGTACTTTTACATGACAGGTCTTCAGCCCCTCCTCCCTTCCCTATTTAAAAATACTTTATTTCCATTTTTTCATTTTCTCATGTTTTTTTTTTCCTTTTCTCTTATTCCCTTTCCCCCACCCTTCCCATTTTCCCTACACCTTTAGCCCTTTTCTTCCTATTTCACATTGTCAATTATATCACTAGGATCTTATGTATCATTATAATTTTTCACACCAGAGAAACTATTCAGTATTTTTACATGTGTGACTTATTTATTTCACTTAGGAGTATATCCTCGATATGTATCCATTTTCTATGAATGACTCTTAATTTCCCATTCTTTATGGCTGGGTAGTATTCCATTTTATAGAAAAACCACATCTTCTTTATCCAGTCTCCAACTGATGGGCAATTGGGCTGTTTCCAAGTTTTAGCTATTGCAAACAGTACCACTATAAACATAGGTGCACATAACCATATATATATTTCTTACCCTATCTTTTAACATTCAAAACCATCCTCATTGGCCAGATGTGGTGGTACATGCCTTAATACTAACACTTGACAGGTAGAGATGGGAGGATCCCTTGTAAGTACTATGTAGCCTGAACTACATAGTAAGACCTATCTCACAAAACCCAAAACAAACAAACAACATGGTTATTCAAACAAGTTTGAAATTGATGTTGGAGATGCAGTAATACTATTCTTAAAGATAATCAAGAGAAAAATTAGTTACTTATTGCAAGTTTGTTTATACTGTTCCTGAAGATGTCAGCCATTTTTATCATGGCATTGTTGAATTATTTTAGTAACAAATTGAAACTATTCTTGAATGTATTCCATTTGTGTAACTGTTGCTGTATGCTTCTTTAATTATAATAGTCTATTTTATAATGATAGGTCTTTTTGAAATAGGTCTTTTTGAAAGTTATTTTGAAATAATTTTAAAGTTTCTGAATTGCTCTTCTATTTCAGTAATTTTATCATTCATATCCCCACAATCTCAACTGCTACTGAGTCACTTTAATAACTGCCAATGAAACCTTTTTTAAAAAACTACAAACTTTAGGACTGGGGATTTAGCTCAGTGGTTCTGTCGCCTGCCTTGCAAGGGCAAGATCCTGAGTTTAATCCCCAGTACCAAAAACAAACAAAAAAACCTGCTTTAATTCTGTTACAAAAAGATATGGATTTTTATTTTTAGTAACCTGTAGTACTGCTTTTTTAGTATTGTCCTTTCTTTTCCCCCCTTTTTTTTTGTCTTGCTCCTTATCTAATTATCTTATTGAGTACATCCCTGATATGCCTTACATGAAGTGAATTAAGTTAAAATTCTTTAGTGATTACAGCATTTAGTTGTGGCACTTTTAATAATCTAAGAGAATTCTCAAATAAGAATCTGAATAATAGTTTCATTAGCAAGAATAAATGATAATGCTAGTTTTTCAATTAAGTCATTCAGTTGATTTCTTAGTTCATACTTTTATTAGTACATGTTTGCAGTACATAATGATTCCATTTCTATTAAGGTAATTATTAATTCAAATAAATAACCAGAAAGTTCCTTTGTAAATAAAGAATTAGAGCAAAGGCAGTTAGATAATTTTGGAGTTTTACAGCCTAGAGCACTTGATACAGATGTGATAGGCACAACAAATGTCCTGCCTTTAGGAGGTACATTTAAAAAGTAAAATGAAACAGATAAAATTATTAACTTAATAATGTACTTTTATAATTCAGTGTATCCAGAATATTATTTTAACATAATATTTGCAAATTATTCATTTTTCATAGTAAGCATTCAAAGTTTGATGTATACTTTATACCTAAATATTTATTAACGTATCTACTAGTTCCTTAAAAATTACTGAATGTCTTTATGGCTCAATTTCCCCCCTTTTTAATAGACAGAATGAAATTAGGTAGCATACATATCATGCTTGTATTATACAAATCTTGGTCCCTTGCTAAAAATCATGAATATTACAAGGGAAAGGAAATATATTAGGGATTAAATTATTTGTAACCCCCCAAATTCCTTTCTCTTTTTGTTGAATACTGCCAAGCATTGTTCTTAAAATGTGAAAAAAATAAAAACAAAAATCAGTAAGAAAAATTTATTTGTAGATAAAAATCTAACTTAATGTTTCCTCTTTTGGTACTAATTTTTTAGCTCTTTTAAACTAATAAAGGGGAAACTTACAAACTTTTTCCTCCATTACTAATGCAGTAGGCCTTGAGAAGTTACTGGTGGCTTTCTGGTGTGAATACTATAAATCTTCCATTTTTTAAATACATTGTTGCTGGTTTTGAGAATATTTTTTTCTCCTAATTTCAGGTTGGGTGGGACTATATCAGCATACAAGATAGTACCAGATGAAATAGAAGAAATCAAGGTATAGTATGGCACTTTTCACCTCTAACAGTCTTAGTATTTTGATGGGGATGTGGCAAAAGAACTCACATCACTGAATCTTTAGTTATGCTATACTATTGTTACACTGCCAGTTATTCATCTTGAATTAAATATATATCTAATAGATAATTGCCATCACATTTTATCTGGTTTTTGCAGTGCATTTATGGGAAAATATTAGGAAATTCAAAAAGCAACACTTTCCTATGAAATTCATAGAGAAAGTAGAGAAGAAAGCATATACATTCTGCATATACATTAGTCTGTATAATCTGTTATCTTTGTATCTTGTTGCAATTTCTTTTCCCTATAATCCTTTACCAGTAATAAATAAGTCCTTTAGTAGGTATTTCCTGATTTCTTTTTAAAATACAAATGCCAATTTCATTTAAATGTGTATTACAATAAATAATTGACCTTACTCTTTAAAAATTAGAGCATTGCTATGTTCTTGTCTTTAACTTTTTACTAAGTCCTGTAGAATGTTAATCATCTAGCACAACTTGTTGCTCTTCTCTGGAAACAAACAATTTACCATATATTCAGAAATGAGCTTATTCATAAATGAAGTTTAACAACTGGATATCAGTAGACAAGAATAAACAATACTATTTATGTTATTAACAATTACATATAAAAGCAAACTATTGTACATAATTTGACTAAACTTTTTATGATCAAATTCAATGTAATTCAAACATTAATAATTTGTATTATTTTTACATTGGTTTAGCCCACTAATCATTATTATGAGATATGTCATTAATTTCAAAATATCAACTCTTCTAATGTGTAATCAACATCAGGAATTTATACAATTATTCTATTGTAGCACCAAAAAAAATTTCAAGAAATTCATTCCAACTTGATATAATTAAGACGGATGAACCAACTGAGAGGAACCTTATGTCTAATCAATGTCCCTAATTTTTCTCAGATTTGAAAATGGAAAGAAATAATTATAAACTTGTAAAGAATTGTTTGAGGTTCAGTAGTTACTCTGAAAATATAAGTACCATTAAATAGTCTGAAACATGTGTATGTTGCTTTTTAAAATACATTTATAGTGACTCCGAGAAAAACCAAAACTCTAGAAACTTAAGCAATCAATAAACATATAAAAATGAAACATTTGTATGAACAACATAGTTTAAATCCACCATAAAGTTAGTCTGTCTTATAATACAGTAAAATATGTGTTAAGGTACTCATGATAAAAATCCTGACAAAAATAGGTATAGAAGGACCTTACCTCAAAATGGAAAACAATTTACAACAAACCCACAGCCAATATCATACTAAATGGGGAAAAACTGAAAATGTTTACTCTAAAACTGGGAATAAGGGATTTCTTCTATCACTACCTCTATAATAAAAACTGTGGAATTTGAAGAAAGTGATTGAGGAGGACATTAGAAAGTAGACATTTTCTGTTCCTTGAGAGGCAGAGTTAGTATTGTCAAAGTGGCCATATTATCAAAACTGATAAATAACTTAATGCATATCATTTCAACAATAGTCTTCATAGAACTAGAAAAAGAAATCTTAAAATTTGAATGGAACTCAAAGAGACCAGAATAGCCAAAGCAATCCTGAGCAAAAGTCAAAGTAAAAGATACTACAATCCTGGATTTCAAGTTATCCTTCAACATATAAGAATAGAAACTGCATGATACTGGTAAAAACTGACATGTAGACAGTGGAATAGAATAGAAGACAAAGAAACACGTTATGTACCTTTAGCCATCTTATTTTTGACAAAGGGGCTTAAAAACTTATACAGGAAAAAAGGTAGCTCTTAACAAATGGTGCTGGAAAACTGTCCATGTACAGAAGAATGAATCCAGAACCCTATCTCTCACCTTGCCATCAAATCAAATGAAAATGAATCAAACATATGTATACAAAAGCAGAAATCCTGAAGCTTCTGGAAGATAAAATAGGGAAAGCAATTGAAGACATAGGCATAGGCAAGGACCTCCTCATCAAAAATCCAAAGCACAGATAATAATATCAAGAACCAACAAATGGGACTACATCAAATTTAAAGGGCTTTGCAGAGCAAAGGAAACAATATAAACAGAGTGAATAGGCAACCTGCAGTTCCCTAAAATGAATGTAATTAATATCACAGTAATATACCAATAAAAGAACGTGAGGAACAAAAAATATAAATAAATAAAATACATGTTAAGTGATAAAAATAAGTGAAGAGTTCTGGGAAAATACATAAAAGGGAACCTTGCCATTTGAAAAATAAACAAAGTCCTTCTAAAATGAAAATTCTGCAAGCTGGAGTTGTGTGCAGAGGTACTTGTGAAAGAAATATGTAGGAGAAAATATGGCACCAGATCACAAGGTATAAAAAAGACCTAGTGAAATACAGGGTTTGAAATGGGCCTTTATGTCATGTTAATCAATTTGGATTCTATCCTGAAAACTGTAGTGTACCTTTATATAAGTTTAGAAAGGAAAGTAACGCACCTAATTTGTGTGATAATTTTTATAGCTTTTCTGTGTATTAGAATGATGCTATTTTGTGCAGATAAAGAGGTTCTGAGTAGGAGAAAGGAAACTGGATTGTAGGAATTTGGGCATAGAATGAATAATACTTGAATTAAAGCAGTGGCAGTGAGGCTGAAGAAAAAAATTGGGTTCAAAAAATATAACTTACAAAAATAGATTAATTATTTAATCATTCATTAGATGTTTAGGAGAAGAAGAAAAAATTGCCTCAGATTTCTGGCTTGGGAGATTGAGTGTATTTGTTGCTGTTCACTTAAAACAGGATATACTGGAGAGGGAATACTTTTGAGAGCACAGAGTATATGTTTTAGACCTATTGAATTTGAAGTCCTTCTCAGATAATCAAATATCTACTGTGATACTGGATAAATCAGCCTGTAATTCAGAAAGGAGATACAGTCTACTGATTGATTTTTGAGATTTGAACTCATACAGTGGTTAGTTGAAGCTATTCTATTGATTAAAATCAAATGGAAAAGTTATATGAGGTAATACTGAAAATTATGAGGTATTGAAATATGAGGTACTGAAAATGAAGCATAGAGCAGGCACAACCTAAAACCTGAGGATTCATATATATGCTGTTTAATTTGTTAACTTACACAAATACAACCTCTTTTAATGGTGACTTTTCACTAAGATTTTTTTAAAATCTAGAACTATGAATTGTCTTTCAAGAGGTTCCTTTAAAAATCATGATTTTTAGATGTGAAATAACATGACTTTTTCCATCAAATACTCCTAATATATCTAAAATAACTTCCAGAAACTTTGATCCCTGAGGCATAAAAGATGGGCAATTGATGTTGTTTCACAGACAGTGAAAAAAAAGCTTTATAAACTGTTTCATCCATATTTTATGCACCATTAATATTTTCAGATAAAATCAGATATATTCTCTTTTGCCCACCTACAATATTCTAGCCAGGTATTTAGAGTGATAACTTGTTGTGCAAGGATAAAGATGGAAGAATAGCTCCTTGCTCAGCCCTACCAACATAACCAGATGTTATGCCCTGTACATAGGTTCCACCAAGGTCTTGTGTACTCATAGGTGGAGTTTTTCAGAGGTGGCTGAATCTAGAGTGTGTGGATTTCAATTGAGGTTGTAATACTGGGATTAAGGGCATGTGGTACTGGATTAGTCCACTAATTGGTTAATCATAGTTCTAGCTATGGGTAATAGGAAGCCCCACCCTGGGTGTGTGTGGCTCCACCCAAAAAGCTTGTAGCTGGATGGAATAAAAGGGAAAGGGAGGCTTGCTGCTACTGTTTGCTGCTTGCTGTCTCCTCCTACCCTGCCATGGACTGTTTCTCCTCTGCCATGTCACTCTGCCTTGGAGCCAGCTGACTATGGGCTGAAACATACAAATTGTGAGCTGAAATAAACCTTTCCTCCTTTAACTTGTGAGTGTTGTGTATTTTGTTTCAACAGTGAGAAAAGTAACCAAAACACCAGGTAAGGATAAATAACCCTGACATCTCATTCTGTTGGATGGGGGGAAATGAGGTTGAAAATCAGATTTCTTCTTGGCTGTTCTAAAATTGTGGGGGAATCAAGTTTTCTGTTGGTATTTGACTTAAGAAAGATGAGCATTGCTTTAAATTTTTTCCCCCCTTAGGCAACTCTTAGCTAGACAGACAATGCTTTTGTAGGACCAATTTTTTGCTTGTGGCTCTTAGTGGTTCCAACACCCTGTCCACAAAACAGTATATGGGAAATAATAAGGAAACCCAACAAATTCATTGCCATGTTATTTCTTAAGTCTTAAAATTTTTAGGCAGTCTGCCATTTTCTTTGCATTTTTTGAGTATTTCTGTGTATTTCCTAATATCCAGGAATTTTAGATTTATAATACTATTATGCTATGGTATGCAAAATATGTACTGTAAATACTTAACGCAATTATATTTAAAATGTAGTAAGGTAAATGTAACTATGTATAAGTAAGGTTTCTGCATTTCAGTAGAAGTGGTAAAGTGTCAATACCAGTAAAGTATAATAAGTCTTGTCTGTATTTTAAAACCTACAGAAGTGATGGTGAACCTATAACATGTATGCTGCCGCAGGGTGTTCGTTGTCATTGAAAGGTCTAAAAGATTTGCCATCACTGACCTAGAGTGACTACTAAGAGAAGTATACAAAGCAACATACTGAAAATACTACAAATAAAAATGAGATTCTAATAACTATTTAAGTGTTTTAGTAAGGCTAGCATATATAAATAAAAATAAGAAACAAGGGGCACAAATGAAAATGAGTCCACAAGTGGCAGGCTTAATTAAGCCTTAAGATATCAACAACTATCTTAAATATAAATAATCAAAATATGACAACCAGAAGATGTAATTTGACGAGTGTTTTCTCAATGAGTTTCTTAAGAAACTGATTTCAAAACAATGACTTAATAGATTGTAAATAAAAGGATTGAAAAGTTATACCCTCCAGGGCTG